GGTATCAAGTGCTTCCAGGATCACCACGAGGAGAGGGACACAGACACCTCTAAACCTGAGGCACGAGCACTCTGCATCTCCCACTCAGGGAAAAGGGTGAGTGATGAGCTGTGCTGCTCCCCAGAGCAGGATGTCAGTGGTCTGAGGGGGCAGATCCTTCCTTTTGTGGCAAATCTGTTTGCTCTTCTGCTCCTGGTGAGGAGAGGCAGTGTAGCTGTAGCTTATCAAAGACCTGATGGACCAGAAGCAATAAAGGTAAAAACAGAAATTGTTTTGACTGAGAAGGAAAGGTAAGCAAAGGGGATGGCCTTGGGACTGTGAACTGTGTGGGTCCTCTGAGCCTGCAACACAAAATTGAACTTGGTCTTTGTTTCCCTAGATTTGCTCTGCAGCACTGGAAAGAACAAAGCCACGATGACAACAGGGACACCAAGGTCTCCAATGAGACACCAGGAACTGTAAGTTTGAGATCTGTGAAGCTCAGTGCCAAGAACAGTTGCTAGAATCTGGGTAAGGATAGGACCAAAATTGCAGGGTATGTTATAAATGAGAAGCTTGACTAGGCCAATATTCCAGCAGCAATCAATTTATTAATTAATATGGTAAAGAATGAGCAATACAGCACTGGGTACAGTGGGGGAAGCTTTCCCTCCAACTGCACACCCATAGTTGAGGCTTACAGGTATTTATAGCAGTACTCATCAGCTTTCTCAGCAGTTTCTATTCCCAATTTTTACTCATCAGCAGTTTCTATTCCAAATTTTTACGTCACAATTCTCTACACTATTGTGATTTAGTTTTCTCAGGATGTATCCCAGAAAAGGAGTATCCCCAGATGGTGGTGGTCTGGTTTCCGAAAGAAGGAAGAAATTTCCCATCTGGTGAGGTCCAGATTCCAGATGTGGATCCACCTTTTAATTGCAGAGACTATAAATCTCATAGCAGTGATGTCCAGCTTCCCTTGGTCGATACTATTAATCCTTAAGTTGGTGTTCATCTTCCTTTCTCAAGCTGCTTTTCACTGTTTTGTTAAGGTGTGAGATAAGCACATTTCCTTTTTATTTATTCTAAAGCTAGAGTTTCAAAGATCCTTACTACAAGCAATATTCTAAAATTATACTTCAAAAGGTTATTATTGCACAACTCTTTAAGGCTTAACTACAAGCAGAAAGTTCCTGTCAAAAAGCAACATCCTTAAAGCTTTAATTCAAATGCTCCTAAATCAACTTAAGACTTATAAAGGTTAATTGGGAACAAAGGATAGGTTCCAAGGCCTTCTTCCATGCTTTACTTTCCTCAGTTATTATTAGAATTCATCTTTATAACTGTCCCATTTTACAATTACAAATACACACGTTGCCTGTATGTACCTGACAGGAAACACAGCTTTGTATTTCACAGCTACAAGAAGTTTTTCTCCTGTTTAGCATGACCCACGTGAACCAGGGCTTCTGCCTTTGGAATGCTTCTGTGACACTGGGAACAGGGCACTTGAGGTTTCACAGAATTTCCAGGATTTGAAAGCTGTATCAGAACTTTCAGAAAGCAGTTAAATGGATTGCACTTTTTGATAAAAATGAGGTTTTATGGTGACGCTGCCTGGCACTTAAGACAAATCTTGATTCCCAGGATCTAACAGAGTCTGAAACCAAGTTCCACACACATGGAAGATGATTTGTTTCCTTTTAAAAGGCAGTTTCAGATACAGAATGGGCAGCTCTTCCATGTTTAATGCTTATTAATGAATACTGATTTTAAAATATTGTAATGTGTTCTACAGGTTGGTGCTGCCATCTCTTGGAAATAATGTAGTTTCACAGCTGATTTGATTACAGGAAATTTAAAATATTTTAAGATATTACATATATTAATAATAAAATGAAAGTATTACAAAAATACAAGTAGATATTCTCAGTCTTTTATCTGAGGATCACATATTTATTAGAAAAAAAAAGAGTACTAAGTGAATTTCTGCTACTAATTCCTGGTTTTACATAGCCAGGTCGACTACTACCCCATTTTGTCTCATTTTTTAATATCATATCATATTTTCTCTATGGCTGGTAAGTTATACTAAAGCTCTTTCCAAGTGTGAAAATTTGGGGTTCTTTTTTGAGTTTTCCAAAGATTCTTCTCTTTGCATGGTCTAGGAAGAAAGATTAATTATGCAGTTCTTCTATTCTTGATCTCCTGGCACCTGAAATTTAGTTGGCACAAAATTAGCTCTTAAGCTTTTGGAGAAATTAGATGTGTTTTGCATCATTACAGTAGTAAGGGAAAGTAAAGTAGTAATTTGTGGTTATTTAAATTGTAATGATATACTCAGATTGATTAATTAAAATTTTCTAATTTAGTTTTCAAATTCTTAAATTTACATTCATAAAAGGATACTGAAGTAAATGTCTGGAGGAAGCACCCAAGTTTGCTCCTTGAGCATGCAACCCTCCCTTCTGCCTTACTTTGTGGCTCTTAATCTGATCTAAATCTCTATTGCTAATGTGTTAAAATCATCTGATTTCAGAATCAAAGAGATCTTAGTACTGGGGTGGAAAACCACTTGGTGCAAGCCCTGGAGTCATGGTGGAATGCTTGGCAAGTATCAAAAACCACAGAAACCAGAAACTAGAGAGAGGATAAGGTGACAGATTTTATAACCTCTTTTTTCACTTCAGAATATTTAAGTAACCTCTTCCTATGGTGGTTTTTTGCTGTTTTGTGAACTGGGATTCTTTGCACCTGTTTGATATCTGTTGGGATTTAAGATGCACAGTGTGGTGCAGTGGTCTGGAATTGCTGGAGCATTTATCACTTAGCACTGGGTAATTTTTGTGATGATCATCACAAAAATTAACTTAGGTTAATTAATACAGAAAATTAATTCTGTACAACTGCAAAGACATATCTTGTAAAAGCAAGTGATGAGGAAAACTCTGTGTGCTGCTTGGTAAATAAGCAAGACTTCAGAGATTGTATGGTCCAAACATCAATCAACTGAACTGCTTGTGTACTGAAGACATGCACAGTCTGAAAGTGATTTTAACAGCTCTGCCAATTCAAAATTGATAAAGCAATTCGACATGATTTGAGATATATAATGGATCAACACAGCCTTAAATTGGACCAGATTGGTATTTCCATTTTTTTTCTTGTATATGGAAATTCTATTTAAACAATGTAAAACACAGAAAAATAATTTCAATAATATATCAGCACATCTGTAATATTCTCTTCACCAGCACTGAATCCACACAGAGAGGTAGGACATCAGATTCTCAGGGAGACAATCCTAATTTATCCATAGGATGAACACTGCATTTGTGGCGTTCATTACCTCTAGATAATGGAACATTATGTTTGTGCAGTTAGATAAATACTGGGTGTTATGTTTCTGTAATTTATGTAAATTATAGTTACAGATACTAATTACCCTGTTTAAACTTGCTGGGTCCCCAAATACTTCTAAGAACTAATAATTATTAGCTTATCTTCTTTTAACACCCTGGAGGCTACCACTAGCACCAGGCCATTTGTGTGCTGATGGGTTATTTATATTTTCGGATCTTCAGCTTATCTAAAAAGAGATCAATAAAAGGGCCAGGTTAAATTACCTGTTCCTTGTACACCCTGCAAGCATGAAAACTTCCTATTTTTAAGGTCAGTGTCTGCTTTCAAGGTGACAAATGAATAGCTACAGTTATGGGGACTGAAGGTAATTGGTATAAGTAGGGAATGAATATATACGTCTGTTCAACCACTACAGCACTAGTATACTTTTAACAAAGAAAACAAATTATAGGCTTCTAATGTTTTGCTAATTACTTGTAAAACTAAAATCTGGTATTTGCATTTCCTAGGCACTGCAAGAATGGTTATTTTCAGCAGGCAGTGTTCACTGCATTGCATTCCTGGCAGCTGCCAAAGACAGGTCTTTGCTTTGGCTTTTGCATTTTCACATCCCTCTTGCACTGCAAGTTGTGAGCCTTACAGGGAAAGAAATGTTAACCTTCTGGCCTCCAATATAGGTTATTTAGTGCTGTTCTCAGTATGCACCCATGAAAGAACACTGCTAAAGTAAATTAAGATTTTTTTTGCCTGCCCTTCATAACCATGAATGCATTTCTATTCTTCAAAGGTGAAATGTTGTCACCTTGTCCAGTGTCTTGGAAAAAACCTTTGAATCTGAGAGTAAGAGGTATGCGCTGGCACTCAGTGTAGAGAACTTGTTAAAGTTAGGAGTTGGCGAAGAAGGCAGTGCCAGTCCTGGGGCGGAGCGTTTCTGGGCCCGAAATGCCAGGGGGCATTCGTGCCCAAGGGCGGGTTCGCTGTGGGGAGAGCCCGTTCCGAGCGCCATGCCCCGGCTGCAGGGCAGAAGCCTTGCGCGGGCTGTGGCCTTCTCGGGACAGCGGCGTCCCCTCAGGGCAGCACTCCGGAACCGGCGGGAGGGCGGCGGTGCCCCGGGGCGGGAGCAGCGGGTCCCGAGCGGTGCCTGAGCGGTGCCCCGGGGCGGGAGCAGCGGGTCCCGAGCGGTGCCGGTTGTCGGGAGCAGCGGATCCCGATTTCCGGGAGCAGCGGGTCCCGAGCGGGTCCCGAGCGGTGCCGGTTGCCGGGAGCAGCGGGTCCCGAGCGGTGCCCCGGGGCGGGAGCAGCGGGTCCCGAGCGGTGCCGGTTGCCGGGAGCAGCGGGTCCCGAGCGGTGCCCCGGGGCGGGAGCAGCGCGCTCCCAACGGGCCCGTCCCGCCCCAACGCGTGGGCACTGCCCGCGCCCCGGCCGCGCCCCTACTTATAACGTCTGCCGCGAGCGGATTGGCTGGGCCGGGCTGGCCGCAGACCCGCCCCCCCCTCCGCCGCCATGTTGTGTGGTGGGGCGGGGGCGGCCCGCGGGCTGCCGTGAGGCGGGCGGAGGGCGAGTCGGGGCGGCGCGGGCGCTGCTGGCGCTGGGCAGGGGCGCTGTGCTGGGAAGAAGAGAAGGCGCGGGCTGCCGGGCTCGCTTCTGCGGAGGGAATGGCGGATGCCGTGATCCGCAGTGGCGGCGAGATGGAGCCGGAGCAGCATCAGCGGATGGAGAAGACCAGCGCGGGCGTCCTCGGAGTGGAGAGTAACAGAACAGGAGCCGCTGAGGACACCGCACAAAATGGCGGACGCTCTGACAGCGCTGGGGAGGCGCTGCTGGTGGCTGCTGTTGCTGCAGAGGACAAGGTCCCCACAAACCTCAGCATCAGCAGCAGCAGCCAGCGCAGGAGCAGCATCTCGACGGCAAATGAACAGCAGCAGCCGCCCAGCGGTGTGCTCGGGGGGCCGCCCCCTCTCCCTAAGCCCTCAGAAGACCAGCAGCCTGTTAGGAAGAACTTTCAGATCCCCAGGAAGAGCAGAGAAAAGAAAGGTTGTTCCTTCCCTTCCCCTCCCTTTTCTACCTCGCTCCCCTCTCCATCCGATTCATCAGGCAGCTCTCGGACACCTCACACGGCTGCATGCAGACAAACCCCGCGCTGTGGAGGAGGCTCTGCTGGCTCGCACTCGCGAGGCTGCTGAGGAGCCGATTTTAGTGTCAGGATGTTCCATTCTTTTCCTACCCCTCCTCTTTTCTTTCTCACTTTTATTTTGTCACGAGGATGAAACAAAACCAAAACCAAAGCTCGGCTTGAATTTCAGACCTGCTGTAAAAGGAGGAGAAGCTGGATGCGATCAGGGTGGGCTTGAGTTGATCTCGGCTCTGCTTCTGGAGGTGCATTGTGGAGAAGATGTTTCTTTGGCATGCCGACATCAGCGAAGATGGTTCGCTTTTCTCTTCCCCGACCTCCTCCCTGCAGGAGAAGGGTGTAATCCTGGTTAGGATAGACGAAACAAACCCAGCAGAGTTGTCCTTCATTGATGATACGCAGAAGACTGTTCTTATCTGGTGAAAGTTCTTTGCAGGGAGAAAGGGAGCATCCCACCTTCTCGTGCCTCGCTTTGGAAGCGTTCTGCTTCCAAGTGTCCAGGGTTTGGGTTTTTTTGTTTCTGAGTAACTCTTCCTCTAAAAGCCTGTGGTATTTCTTGCTTTTCACAAGACTCCACTGGTTTCTTCTTAACTTTGTTTTTGTTAAGTGGAGTTGAAGACATGTCTGATTTCCTCCCTGAAATTTATCTTAGTTCTTGCCCTTTTGCAATATGGAGTCAGTAACTTAGTACATATTACAAAAATACTTGTTTGAATAGGCTTCTTGTTCTTCAGGAGGAGGGTAACATCTTAACTTCTTGAAATGCTTTCTTCTGTAAGGAAGAGATGAAGGTAGGTTTATTTCATTATCCAGTCTTTTCTCTCCAGTAATAGACTAATTCCTTTTGGCAGTAATGACCCCTTTTGCTTCCTGGTCTTTCCCATTGCCACCCCACTCTGGGCTGATACAAGTCTGGCAGAGATTCATTGTAAAAAGAACTGGGTTGATTTGGAGAAAAAAGTCTTATAGTTCATCTGACAGAAAAATACCTGGATGTAACTTGGTGCCTCATGAACAGTCGAAGTTTCTTGTGTGCCCCACCCAAATGTGGTTACACCCAAGTGTGGTTTAGATGTGTTTCAGAAATGTTTGTACTTAACCAACGCTATTTGAAGTTCCACTTTAGCATTTGGTTCCAATGTGAATGAAAACCTGCAAAATACCTTCTTAGGTCATCTGATTCATCATTTGCCTATGCTGAGCCATCTGCAGTGTGCAAAAAGTTTTGGATTGTGTAGTTCAAACCTCAGGCTTCTGTGGCCTCTAAGGTAGAAGAGGAAGCCATTCTTATCTTACTTCAAAAACTGACTTGCTAATGTCAAGGTCGTTTGAGCCATTCTCACCTTTTTTCCTTTCAGCCTGCAGAAAGGCTCTCAGGTATTTTGATCATTCTGATGACTTGGAGCTTCCGAAGCTCTCAGAGCAGAACCTGCTCCATTCGGCCCGCGGTGCTTGCGGATTTACAGCTGTTAGTGTTGTTCTCACGGCATGGATTGCCAAACTGCAGTTTGAGGACAGCTAAATTGCTATTGGGATTTGTATTGTCATTTGAAAAATGATGCAATTCAGTCAGTTCTGCAAGTGCACTGGAAATCGGCACTGGATCATCTGATGCCATAGGTAGTGGCTCTTGCAGCATCCTTATTGTTAGTGCTTAAATACATCTTGTTAAATTGCAAAATAATCTGAATGACACCAGTTCCTCTCGACAGAGCTGTCTTGGCTTGGTTCTAAAGCCCAGCATGAAGCAATACGTATGGAAGCTTCCTCCATCGTTCCTTGCCTTGCAATTGTTCTGCTTTTTAAGCCACCATGTCTTTTCTGGACATGCCATCCTGGGACACAGCTGCTGCCGTGATTGTCGAGGCTTAGCTGCTATGTACAGGAGCACCTTGTCCGAGGTGTTTGAGTTTATTTGGAGGTGGGTTTTTTGGTGGATTTTTAAGTATTTTTAAACACCAAAATGTGTTTCAGGAACAATTTTTGGTAGTGAAGAAATTAAAAATTGAATCTGGAAAGCACAAATGTATGAGAAAATTTAAGCTTTAGCTTCTAAAATGTAAGAGAAATATCCTGAAAATTTAGGCTTTAGCTGCTTATTTATCTTCTTCAGAATTTATCTTCCCTCTTGGACACTTAGGTAGGGACTGAAAGTCAACAGAAATCCTTTGTAATCTGAAGGAAAGATACTCTTAACAACTGTGATCAGTTTGCACAGAGAATTCTTCTGATTTTCTCATGCTTTTTGCTGGCATAGGAATTCAGGAAACAAATGAAAGAGAAGTTGGCTGCAACATTATTTTTTTAAGGTGTGCCTGTATTTGTCTTCCTCCTTAGAAGTTCCTTGGAGGTTTGTTTTCTTGGTACATGGAGTTTAACAATGGTGTTATGCTCTCTTGAGCAGCTTATCTGTCGTTTGTCTTCAGGCCTTTCCTGGCCTCTTCTAATTCAGTTGTCTGGTCTTCACAGATTTCCAAGTTTGCTTGGAACTTGAGAGGTCCTTGATAGGATTAGGAAAGCAAATTTAAGGCTAAATCAGTGTAAGAGCACTTTTAACTTGCTGAACGATATGAGTGATCTCCTTACCAAATGATAATTCCACCAATGATGCTGACATTGCAGCCTTTAAGAGGTTGCTTGTTGGTTAAAGTTGGAGTTTCTTTCTGTCAAAGTAACAAATAACTGCTGTTTCTCAGGCTGAGGGGGGAAAGGTCTTGCTTTTACCCATGAAACTCTGCAATGCTTGCCTGAAGGTCCAGGTTGTCCCTTTTCTAATTCATCGTTCTGCCTTGTCTTTTGTCTTCTCGTTTTCCCTTTCTTTGGTAGAGATGTGCTCTGCTGTTGGCTTCACGATATTTCTGGGTGGAGAACTCTCAGTCCCTGAACTTGGTAACTATTTAGGCCTATTGAGAGCACAAGACATTTTGGGCTGAAAAAATCCTAAAGGTAAAAACGTCACAGTTCATTAACACCACCGATTTTTTGTTTTAGTCTTAAAAAATGAAGACTGAAAGAAATTGAGACTTAAAAGGGTGCTTCTCAATGGAGCTCCTGTAGCAAGAGCACTTGTGTGTGAGGAATGCTAGCATTCTGCCAGCTTAGCTGATCAGAAAATCATTCATTTATTTATCTTCCCTTCAAACTTGGTTCAGGATTGCTCAAGGAGGATGGCTCTGTCTTCACATTCTGACTTAAAGCAACCAAACCCAGGAACTCCAATCTCAGCTTTCTGAAGTTGAAACATCAGACAGCTGTGAAAGAAAAGTAGAGCCTCCCAGGCATGACATACATCCAAACATCCAGTCCAGTCCCTGTCCCCTGACTAGTACTTATAGCTAAACTCAATTTCCACCTAAAAATAATTACATTTGTTCCAGTGCCCTGGATAGAAGCTGAACAAACCCAGAATTTATTTACTTATGTTTAGCTGTGCTGAACAAGCCAGCAAACCCCAGAACAATTGACTTGTATTATAAGGATGCTGCAGGTTAGTCCTTACTTTAATTAGTGTTTAATTAACCCAGGGCAGTAAAGGTGCAGTGTACCCCCACCAGCTGTGTACAGCAAGCCTGGGAGATGTGTGTGTGCTCATGGCTGCTCTTTGAAGTGATGCAGGACTGGGGTGAGCCCAGCAATTCCATGGTTTGCCCAGGGGCACAGGCCTTGGTGGCTGCTCTGCAAGGTCTAGTTTAGTTTTATTGATTCTCAGTTTTATTTTAGCTTTTTCTTGTTTCTGCACTCCTTCCTTGAAGGAAGGTACAGGCCCTGCTATGGTGACATTAACATTTCAGACCATCACTGTCCTTGAACACCTCAGCTCAAGTGGGGAACTGAAAAGTATTGCCTGGCTACTCACCTCCCTGGGGTGGTGTTTCATGTTTTATTGAGAACATGGAGTCTGCAGTGCCTCAAGTTCTGGAAGAAAAAACTGCAACAATCTTTATAAAAAAATTTATTTCCTGTTTTCCATAATTGAATGATTAGGTAGGGTTTTTCCATACATGTGTTGAGCACTGAGTGTATACTAGTTTATGCAGATTCTCCCTCCCAGGAGAATAGGGTGACTTGCTGGTTTAGGGCAAGTCTGTCTCAGCTTGCTCCCCAGAGGTTTCCACAGAGCAGAAGATGCTTAAACACAAAGAACAGCATGGTTGATAATATTTGTGTGTATGACAGGGTCCTAATTAATGTAATAATGTGCCTCTTCCTGGAGTTGCATCTGGGAAAGTAGGTGAGACATTATGTCTGCCTTGGGGTGGCTCTTTCTAGCTCACCCTGCAGTGCTTTCCACTTGTTTGGGCTCCAGAGGAAGAGAGAGGCTCATTTTTACTGAGCTTGTGTCCTGGGGGAAGGAGGGAGAAGGGCTGAGGTGCAGTAAACACTGGTAAGAAAACAGGAAATGGAGTCAAGCAGCTGGCCCAGATAACTTCTGCCTTACCTGCTGGTTTGGAGGAGCTGGCAGAGTGTGAGCCCAGGTCTGTCTGACAGGGAGTTGGTGTTGTAGTGCCCAAGGGATCCAAGGGGCTGGGCTGGAACAGGGGCTGCTTTCCAGGGGTGTGTACCTGCAGCACGCTTCTGTTTTCTATTCTGTTCATAAGCATTTATCTCTTCAGTACAAGAGCATTCAGTCCCAGTAATACCAAGTTGAGAATTGTATTCACTCTCAGTTCTGTCTCCTCCCGTTTTGCTGTCAGCTTTTGAAGAATGAAGGTGTGGTTACTGAAAAGGATGTTACACCAGTATGGTTTCTAAATCACTTTCAGAATTTCCACTCTTAAAAAAAATCACTTTCTCATTGTTGGTGTTGGAATCCTTGCTTGATTGCAGTTTGCAGATGTGGTGTTGCCTTCTAAAGTGTGCAGCTTTTACTAAATAACAGTTTGGTTTTCATTAGGAACATTTGTTTTATATTGAGGCTTATGCAGTAAATCTTTTCTGCAAATGAGGGAAAGATTGCTGCCTAAATTATACTGCCCTATTACTAAATTAAATTGGAGGATATACTCTGAAGATAGAATTAAATTTAATTTGTTGTTAGAGTAATGGTAGGTTGCTTTTTTGTTGTTTTTGTCTTTGTTTTGTTGGGGTTTTTTTTGTGAGATTAGTACTGTTTTTGTTCCTAACTGTTGTAGCTACAGTAAAAATTGTGCACTTCTGGTGGGGGTTTTAGAAGTTACTCTGAGGATAAAAACCACTTCTTGTGTTGTGCTAGTTGAGTTGCCCCAGAGATGTTATTTTCCTGGCCACTGCTCTCACAATCTGCACTGCCATCCTCTGCTGGCTCCCCCAGGGTTGCTCCTCTGATCACTTTGTCACCTTGGCACCCAAACACTGATAAGAAGCCCAGGGACAGGACTGCTGCCCTGTGGGAACTCGGGTAAAGGTTTTCCCAGGAGGGAATTTGTACAGCAGCACATGGAGGGCTTTCCTTTTAAAGCAGGTGTGGTAAGGGATAACATCATCAACCACGAACACAGGCAGTGGGCTCCTGGTATTTTTAGTAATAGGAGCTTTGTCTTCTTGAAATAGGATTGGATTTCTTCATATTTAGCTTAATTGCCATAAGCAAACAAACACAAAACCTCATAATAGTTCTGAAGTGGGGCCAAGCTATGAAACTCTTGTTGAGGTTTTTATTAGGACAATTTATTCCTGCTTCTTAATTAAAGGAGTTAATTAGTAAATTGCAGTTCTGAAAGTTTAATTACAGTGTTTTGCAGTACATATTAGATGTTTTTCAAGGAGTAAATTCAGACTTGAAGTGCTTCCCTTACAAACTTCTGAGAACTAGTAGCTGTTCAAGAGCAATATTAAAAAAACACAATTGTGATTTTTAAAAGATGCTATCATTCTAGGAAATTTTAAGACAAACTTTTTAAAGTCTATATTTGCCAAGTATTCTAGGTGTTTAGTGTTTGAAATTGAATTACAAACCATTTATTTTCATGCATCAGCTGTCAGTGAATTGGAAACTTTGGATGTTTTCACATGTATATTGGTGCTCATTATTTTATTTCTTCTCTTTTATAGCACTCTTTCAACCAGTACCTCCAGAGTCTCGAGAATTTGAGGAGATTATAAACATTCTGCATCGTTCCTACTTGGATCCGAGTTCAGTGTCCAATTTCAAATACAAGAGAGCCAGCTTAGTTCATAGTGAACTGTTGGAAAAGGAAGTGAGTATGTTTGTGGCTTCTGCTTCTCAATCAGGTACCAGTCAAATGCCAGAGACCTGGGCATTATTTTCAGTTATGCAGTTAGTCTTTAATTGCAAACTTGCATCCCTAGAAATGAAAGCAGCTATTTTTCAGGCAAGTTTATTACTGCATAGTTTTCAACTTTTGCCTGCCAGGTACTCCAAGAAGACTAAAAGAAAAACTGTATTTGTCACCAGTGTCTGTGTGCTTTTAGCTTTCAGAAATTTTCTTAATTTTTATTAAGGTATTTTAATAACCCAGAAATTTGTTTTAATGTCTTCTTTACAGGGTTCATGATTCCTGTGAAAATTAGGATTAAAATATGTGCCTGACAGAAGTTTGCATAATCTCTGTAGTTTTGTTGTTTTCCAAGAAGTACTTTAGTTAAAGTGGATTACTGGTCTAGTAATTGGAGCACCTTGGTTGAAGCCCCTCTGTTGTGCCTTATGTGCTGTCTCTTAAATCCAGCCTTAGCTTGTTCTCATCACTCTCAAACGAAGTTTTCATTCCCAGTGCCAAAGCTTCACATATGAAGCAATTGAAGAATATATAATTTGTTTGCTGTGATTATCATCTTGAAGTTATGAAGGAAACTGAAGCTTTTTCTGCTATTACATTAATTATTCATGGTTACAGCTGAGAGATATTGGTAAAAAACACCTCAGCAGCAGTGAGGTGCATCTGCAAAAATATTTGCACAGTGTAAGAGATCTGTCTCCTAAAAAGAGAAAAAGTCTTATTTCTGGAGTTTCAAAGATGTGGGAGGCATTGGGCTGGATAGTTCTAGCCAGTTCTGCTACTGGATCAAACTGAACTGTTACTGCACAGGTTTGTTTGAGGAGTGTCTCTTAAAACAAACAAATACTTGGGCAGATTAAGCCAGCTGGATTTCCCACAGGTATCATGTTCTTGAAATCTAATTATAGCTTCCAGTGATTTCATTTGGATTCTTTTGATTATTTTTGTACACTTGGGTCTGCTAACATAGATAGGGCATTAAACCACTGACACTTGAGCGTGTTAGCAGCAGTGTGTGAGTGCCTGTGCTCAGAGCTCTGTGTGTGAACAGTTCACAGAAAAACGGCGGGAGCTGAAGCGGGACGGGCGGCCCGAGGAGCAGCTCTCGGAGAGCCACGCCTTCCTCATGGTGGATCGCTGCCAGGTGAGCCCCGAGCCCGCAGGGGAAATGCCTTCTGAGCACTTGGGAGCTTCTGGGCCTTTGGGGTTTTCACAATGGTTTTATTGACAAGATCTTAAAGTTACTTCTGCAAAATTCCGCACTGGAAGGTGTAGAAGGATGGGAAAGAGTTTTGTCACCATTTAAATCCTCTATTCCCTGCTATTTAAGGTATTCCATTTACGTGACTGTATCTTCTCTGGTTTAGGCTCTCTTTTATAAATAGAAGGATAGATTTTCTGGATGACATGTGAGTTTTTATTTGGTTTTTGTTTGAGTTTTTTTTTTAGTTGAGGAATATTTTGTGCTTTCATTGCATTTGGGTTTTGGTGGTTTTTTTCTTCTTTTTTTGGATCAACAAGGTAACCTGTAATATTAGAAAATGGACATTGTCTTCTCTGTCTCTTCTTTGATTGTATACTTTTAATCAAAGTGATGGAAAGGTGATTTCTGTGCTTTGTCTGCTATTATAGAGTTGGGATTTCTTAAGCATGCAGTCATTTGACAGATATACTTCTGTTTTAAATATTAAAATTTTCTGTACTAAAGGCAAGTAATATAAAGAGTGTTGAAGGTACAGGGAGGGTGTGGTTTTTTAAGATACAGGTGAGTCTATGTGGCTGTTCCATATCAGAGTTCAACTTACACAGTTGAATAGTTTTATAGAGAATTCAGACTAGTCTTGCCTCTGTTTGTAAGGGTTGGGGTTTTGTTTAAATCTCAGTTTATATTCTGTAATTTATATTCTGTAATTGTCATTTATTGCTGTTTGTTCTGTTCATATCCTGGCTTTCCTTACAGACTTGCTTAAAAACCTCTGTTCTCTTTAGATCCAGAGCATATGTGAAAAGGGGCTGCAGGTTGGCCACTCCAAAATCACAATTCTCGGCAGCCCTTCCAGGGGTAATTATCTTTTGATTAGAGTGCTGGTTATTCAGTAGCAGTTAGCAGATAATGTGATGCAGTTGTGTCAACTTTCAGTCTTTTTTGTATCACTAACTGCAGCACTATCACAGCAAGATGTTTTTAACAAAGGAAACAGACCTCAGAACATTATTTCATAGCTCTGTTTTTGAGTAGTTCAGTGAAATTCCTTTTCCAAAGGGAACACCTAATTCTCATTTGGCTTTAAGTCAAACCAGTATCCCATGTCTTTGCAGGGGGCCCAAAGAGCTCGTGCAGTGTGTGGCTGCCTGCCTCTGTGTCTGTGTGTAGGTGTGTGCATTCAGAGATACCTCATGGACACAGTAGCTCAGCTCAGTTTTGGTGTAGATAGAACTAAAATTCTTGAATGCACAAATCCAAGAAGAGCGTAGATAAATTGGAGACTTAGAGGAGTCACAAGATGTTAAAGTGTTTTGAGAGTGCAAGACAGTAAGTTCCTTTTGCAAAGCTTTTCAAATAGAAAATTAGGAACTAATTTTGTCATCCTGTGTGAGAGGAACATGGTACAGAGGTATCATGAATATTGAAAGCAGACAATATGAAAGAATATACAAGTGAATATTGAAAGCAGAAATAGGTGAGAGGTGGAGAACAAGGCTTTATGAGCATGTGATTTTTTACTGTTTAGCTGGTAAAGGGTCTGGAGCAATTTGCTCAAGCAGTTAAATACAGACTTGGAATGAGAGGAACATAAAGCAAATGGATGTTTTTTAGAGTATCTGAATTCAGTTACAGTTCTTTGGTCTGAGGTAGTCAGCCAGACCAGCAGATGACAGTGTGTTTGAGGCTGTAAAATCTATGAAATAACTAAGTACAGAAAAGCACAAAATTATTTTACCTTTGCACTTGAGTGTCAATTGTATCTTTATTCTTTTGTGTGCATTGAGCTTTAATCTCATGTAAGGCTTTTTAAATCTCTAATAATGTTTTAACATTCAGCATAATGTATTTTGGTTTCTTTTTATACTCTTGTCAGGTGTATATATCTCCAAGTATGCTGATTTATTGCAGCCTAATCCTCTAGAATCTGGAGCAACTGGAGATGTGATTGTTTTTAAAATAATAAAGGTAATTTTATCTTGCTATTCTTGAAGGATTACTTTGCTTACTGGTAACACACAGGTGGTTTTAACCTAACTTTCAATTTGTGCAGTTATCTGTGTATAGAGAAACTAGACCTCTACTAGATTTAAAATCCAGTATTGATATTAAGCTTAAATAAATCATAATAAATTGTTATAGAAGGCAGAAGTATGTTGGTTTTTTTTGAAAGTATGAAAATAACGTACTTCCAGAAGAAGCTTTCTTAATGGCTTGTTTTATTTTCTCTTACTTTGTTTGGTACTTGAAGCAATTTGTCAGCTTCCAGGACAAAGTTCCTGCTGACAATTCTTCTGTTTTATGACAGGGAAAAATGAAAAGCATATGTGACTACAGTGGTACGAAAGCAGTGGACTCAGCTGTGAGGAGTATGTTGGATCCCACCCCAAACCACGAGTGTCACATTTCAAAGAATGCAGCCAAAGTCAACTCCTTGCTGGCTTACCGAGCCTACGAGCTCACCCAGGTACAGCTGAGCCTGGGCCACCTTCCTGCACAGAACCTTCCTAAAGAGAACTTGTGAGCAATGGAGAGAAAATGACAGGAGTTAGAGCAGCCCCTGAGCTTCCCTGTGCAGTGCAGCTGGCTGTGGGCAGCACTCACAGGTGCTGCATTGGAAATCTCTTACTGCCACAATCTGTTGCAGTCAGATTATTTCACCTAGTCTGCAGATTTCAGGATCCTTGCTTGAAAGCATTCTCTTCAGTATTAACTTCGTTTGTCTTCTGTAAATCAGTGAAATAGATGGCTAAAAAATTCATGTGTTTTTTCATTTCTCATTGCAAATTTGCCTAAATTAACATTTTATATTGGTGATTTAGCTAAGGATAGACTCTAGAACTCATTGCAATATTTACTTTCCTCTGAAGTTTTTGGTTTTTATTAGTTAATACCTTCACTCACCAAAAATACTTCCAAGTAAATGTTGCATTTCAAGAATGTTTTATTCTTGATTCACTCCTGAAGGTACTGTCCATATCTAAGTGGTTAATAAAGGAAGGAGAAGATAAAAAAAAGATCTTAATTTATTGTATTCTCTAGTACATATGAAAGGAGAATTTAAAAACTTCTTTATTTTAAATGCCAGCATTTAAAGAAATTAATGATTGCTCCAGGCTTCTGATTTAACATTGTCCCTTCTTTTTCCCAGTACTACTTCTATGAATATGGCTTTGATGAGATCAGGCCAAGACCAAGACATGTTTGTCCTTTTGCTGTTGTTTCATTTACTTATAAAGATGACATGGTACAAGGACCAAAATTTGTGCCCTCATCAAGGTAAGCTAGGAAGTGAGTTGTGGAAAATGTGCATGTAGCAGGAAGAATTCATAGCTCTTGGCAGTAGCTTAGAATTGATTTAAATGAACAGTGCTGAAGTGAATGAATGTGTCACAGGGACTTAGTATGATAAATACTTATTATACTAAATGTATTATACTTAGTATAACAAATACTTCTAATGCAAAGCAAGAGGTGCCAAAATGGGTTTTATGCAGCAGGGTGGCCCCTGTGGGAAGCAGTTTTGCTGCTCTTGCCACCTGCTTGCCTTTTGCCCGGGTGGAATCCACAAATACTGAGGGGTTGTACCTAAGTGAGGAAATTTGTGGACATAAAAACATTCACAGCATTATCTTGCTTGGTACTCTAAAATAATATTCTGTGTATTTTGTCTCTGAACCCTTCACTGGTGTCTGCTGGTGGAGAGAGTATGTAGATGGCCAGTTGATCACAGATCCACTGTGATACCTGTGCTGACAGGAAGATGTCCAGCTGTGGGGACTGGGCTATGAAATGCTAAAAGCAGTTATCAAGGTACCTAAATTAGTACAAGATGCTGCAGCAGTGATAGATTGAGATTAGAGTGGGAATTACCAGTCTTCCTATTTTGTTAGACTGATAAACTATTCTTAATGTAAGATTGAGTGGTCAGAATTCTCTGTTCCATCCTAGTCATTCTGTCTCTCTTCTTTTGTTCAGAGCAAACACCTTGCATGCAGATAGAAGTACAGGTAAGAATGAATTCCAGTTTTTGGTTTTATGGTACAGACTGGGAAGGTTTTGATGATTTTCCCCCTGTAGTTTTATGTTTGACCAGTTTAGTTATGCTGAGTGTATACCTGAATTTTATCCTGCACCATGCTGGTTGCTGATACTGGATGATCAAACAGACACCTTAATGTGTATCTTCTTTTATCAGTGTGAACCACAAGTGAACAAAAGCAACTGTCTTTTTTCCCTTCTCTCCTACTTAGAGTGTAGTAGGAACTGATCTTCAGTTCCTGAATCTCATGTTCAATGGCACTTCAAATAATATTCTTTGTCATGCTTTGTTTTGAACCTCATTCAAGCAAAGTTAGTGTGTATGAAAGTGGTTGACAGTTAAGGTAAGGAAAGAGGATATAATTCCTCAGAAATTAGCATCAAGGGTGTGCTTATACTGACAGGTGTAGGTAACAAACCAACCTCCTTTACTCTGCTCAGAGCAGATCAAAACATGACAGGGTTGATAACATCCTTTCTGTTGCCTTTTAACATTATTGTCTGGTGTTAGTATAAAAGTTTCCTTATACTGATTTTGGAGATTCAGCAGCCTCTTCTTTCAGTCACAGAGTGGTTTCACTTAGTCTTCCTTTCTCCATCTTAATTTAGAGAAACCTAATGTTACATTGTGGAGGGGACAGCTTTGGAATAAAGGCAAACTTGTGTGCCACGTTTCCCTAAAATCAGCAGCACGACCTTTCCTTCCATGCAAGCTGTGAGTATTGCCGTTTAGACAGTAAGTTTAAAATACTGCTCTATTAAAACTCTTTTGAGTAGAAACTGCTGAGTTTTGGATATATTCAGATGCAAATCTGAAATACTGATTAAGTGCCTTAAATACATCAAACAAGAGTCGAGTCATGTATGTCCAGAATTTTCTTGAGCTCAGGCACACAACTGTCAGCATCTCTGCTGTTTGGTTCTGTTGTTTGTGGATTTGTTGGGTTTTTTTCCATTCAAGTGACACACACTCCTCTGCAGGAATAAACACCCCTGGCTCATGAGATAGTCCAAAGAAATTATTCTTAAGGGCGTGTATTTACTGGTTCTTACTTTATCAGGAAGCATAGGAATATAGAAAGTAAAAAAAGAGGTCTTTATTTTTTTTTTATCTTCACCCACCCTTCTTCTCCAGTTCTGAGAAGCTTGAGGTTGAAAAAGTTGTAAGCATTGATCATTTGAAGCAAAAAATTTCACCAGCATTGTTCTTGAAAGAAACTTACCAAGAAAGAAAAGAAGGTAAATTGTTCTCATTTAATTTCTTTAAATTCAGAATTTTCAAGTTTTCTGAATTAGAATTTTGGTTCTTTTTTCCTTACACTCTCTTTCTCCCCTGTATCCTGTCAGTGTGGAAGAATGGCATGTACTCTAGCCTGTATGAAGTTGTGGAGAAGTCCCGTTCTGGGAGCCACTTCGAGGGGTTACTTCAAAAACTAGAGAAAGAGAAACTCGTGAGTGCAACAGATTTGACTATTCCTATTTTTTAAAATAATTTTACTAGTTAGTAGTTTCAGGCATACTACAAAATCCACAGTCTCACTGGAATTCCTTAGCTGGCATACTCTTAAGTATCAGGGCACTTCCCTGCCCAAGACAGAATTGTCTTACAGTCAAGAAGAGTATTCATGGTGAGCAAATGTCTTTGAAGCAGTTTGCTCTTTTTGCTTGAAAACAGGTCCTTGTGAAGCCACTTGTGGACAGAGGATTTCTTATTCTTCTTTCTCCTTGGCAGATGATGTCCCCTTATGGTAAGCATACTCTGGGTTTGTGTTAGAGCTGGGTTTGTTGTTTTGGCTCTTTTAGGGGGGTGGGTTTTTGCATACTAGATTGACTTTGGGTGGTCCTCTCCTTTTTACCTGTTGTGTTTTTTTTTTTTTTTTTTTTGTGTTCTAGACCACCAGACTGGACGGTCCCGTGTACTTCATGCATTGTTTCTGTTCCCAGAGTCTAGAGGTGTCATTAACTCAGGTTTGCTCACTGTTGTGTGCAGGTTTATTTAAACAGAGGTGATATTCTGTTGAAGATTTTGCAGTCAGTCAGTGTGAACTAAGAGTAACGGTTTGCATTGGTTAGGGTCATGGTTTTAGTGTTTAGAAACACTTGTTTCTTCACAAAAGCAAATGTTGCATGTTGAAGGTTCACTTGTTCATATTTGAGAAGGTAAAACTTGTTGAAATTTCTTGATAGAGCATCCCTGGCTTCTGAATTACTTCTTCGTGGTCATTCCAAACTGTGTTTCACCCAGCATGTATTAACATAGAGTATTGCTGACTAGTCATCATTTATTTGTAGCTTCATGGTTTGATTTTAATTGTGGATTCCCTTTTCTCCTTTTGGCAGCACAAAAAAATGGTCCATATGGAACACAGAAAAATTCACCTTCCATGGCATTGCACAAGAAAAAGGAAATCGTTCCAGAATTCACCAAGTTGGTTCAGTCTCTGCATTTTGCTTTGTACCAGGCCCGTAAACACAGCAGTGTAGATTACAATGCTATTGTGGACAAGTACATTCATGAGTACTTCAGAAAACTCTACCACGGCCCTGGAAGAGGCAGAGAATTTATAGTTCGTGAGTACTCAACACAGCTGGATGACAAAAGGTTTCTGTACCCTGCCCCGAGGTACAAAGGTGACATTGGCATGCGCTTGCAGAGCTATGTCTTCAACTGTGAGGCCTATCAGCTCCCCGTCTCCAGAGCCAGGGAGCTGCTGGATAGAAACCGCAAACCCCAGCGCTTCAGCCCCAGCTCAGATTATGAAGCCACTGCTGCCAAAAAAAGAGTGTCTCGTGCTGGAGATGATGATACTGAAAGACTCAAGGATCTCATTAACTTGATCCAGTGTAGAAAGAAAAATGTAGGTGGAGATTCTGATTTTGAAGACCCCAGAATTAGGAGTGGTCTGAAAAGAAAGCTGGAAGAGCAATCTGGAAATTTGCAGAAATACCTAAAAAGGAGTGACTCTGCAGAGAATATTTGTCAGTGCGAAGGTAAGAAAGTCTCTGTTTAGAGTTCTTCTTTAAACATTGTTATTCAGAGCATATTTAATACTTAATCATCACAGATTATCTTTTTGTATGCTGTGGCAATTTAATGCACGATGGTTCATTGGCCTGAGATATGTTAATAGAGATAAAGTTTGTTTTTTGCAGGTTTCCACTTTTTAGGAGATAAGTTAAGGGGAATTTTCCTGGAAGTTGCTTTTGTTTAGCCTCTTTGGAAAGAAAGCAGACTTCTGAAGAGTTTACTTGCCTGTGGAGCTGTCCAAAGACTCTCTAATACAGAACACTTAGCAGACTTGATATTGTCTTTTGTGGAGTTTGACTTTGCTGTAATTCTTTGTGTCCACTACCCTATTTCATACCTAAGAAGTTTTGATGGAAGGGAAGAAGCATAGTTCAGTTTTGAAATAGCCATTTGAAATAATGTGTGTTGTGGGACAAAGGAAACAACCTAATAAGATTAAATAATTCTCTACATGAAATTATCTACATCCAAACCTGAGACAAGTATCACAGATACCTTCTGACTTAAGGTCTGCCAGAAAAAACCCTTTGATTTCTGTTTCCCTGACCATTTTCTCAAGGCAACTATAGAAGCCTCCTGCAAAAGGGGGAAATGGGAACGGGGTGACACAAAGAAGAAGGGATTTCCATCAAGCACCAGTCACTCTGGTCTGTGTGAATCACTGGAAGATGAACTGATCTGAGTTGCCCTTAGTTGTCCTCTTGAGGGGACAGAAGATACTGACTGCCGTGTAGGGATGAAGCAGGCAAAGGGTGGACTTTATGGCTGGGATTCCTGCTTGGTGAATTCTGTGAACCTTCAAAGGTCTTTTGAGATTGACTAATGATGTAGAATATGTGATGAAAGCATGTCTACATTTTTGTTAAAATAAGTGTGTGTACATACAAAGTGATGCTAAAGATTGAGACTGTGGGTACGTGGCAGATGTTTGTGGGGAGATCTGGTTTTGTTTTTATTTTAAGACTGAGCAATGGATTCCTTTTCCTCTCCTAAGGTGGCAGAACCTTGGATTCCCCACAGTATGTGTTCCCAATGAATCCTGAGCACGGTGGCCACGAGGGTGACTTCAGGCCGGACGTGTCGGACGCTGCGGCCGACCCGGAGGCGCTGGTGCGGGCGGTGCTGGAGACGCTGGGCCCTGCCAGCCACTGGGAGCCAGCACTGCTGCAGGCTGTCACCCAGGCCTTGGCCTTGGGCACTGAGGACACTGAGGAGGATGTGAGGCAGAAGTACGAGTATGAGTCCATTGCAGCTCAGGACAGAGAGGGTCAGGAGCTTCCTAACGCTGCTCAGGCTGACAGTGTTCCCTTCAAGGACCCGCAGAGCCCGGCCGTGCTGGAAACCGACGTGCAGTGCTTGCCCTACATGCCCGTGGATGTCAGTCTGCAGCTCCCACCCAACGAAGCACCCCTTGAGCACACACTACATTTACCAGTAAGTGAAACTGCCAAGGTGCTGACAGTGAAAGTACTGTTTTCAAAAATATGAGACTGAATGAAAAAAACATTGTTTTTTTACAGAGGCAAACACAGATAGGTACTAATTCTTCTGTGAAGCTTTTCTGTTTGGTAGGAACATAGGTGGAAATTTTCCCCACTCTTAAGTGTGTGTTTACGGTTCATTATTCTTTTTGTGATAAAAAAGGAGCAGAGTTGAAGAATTCTGAGCATTTCACTGCATGCTCAGCTCTCTTTGAGTGACTTGTTGGTGCAGTGCTGTATATGAGTTCCCTTGTGCTTAGGGATCACAGTACCCTAGCTTAGCCTACAAGAGTGATGGTTCCATGATCTCTGGTACTGGTACTTCCACACAGAGTCCAGTTCCTAAGTCACAGAGCAGCAATGACTTTGTCCCACATGTAATCTCTGTGCTGTTTTGCTTCTACCCACGTGGGATGTGAGATGAAATTGGCTTTTTTAAGGGCCCAATACTAGTTGTAGGCAGTGCCTCAGCAAATTTATTATTTAAATTGGAAAGAGTGGAAAAGCCTGGAAAGAGTGAGGGAGCAGCCAGTTGTCCCCTCCCTTCCCCTTGGGCACCCCCAGCTTCCATGCAGTAAGAGCAGTGCTCAGGACTGCATTAGTAACGAGAGACCACAGAAGTACCTCGTGGAAATGTTTCCAGCTTTAGACTGGATTAGATTGATAGCAGAATTGCCAGTGAACTCACTTCTTCCTGTCAACTGCTCAGAATGTAAAATCTTAATAGTGGGCAAAACCAAAAGGAGTTGTTTTGAGATGAGCATTTTGTTGCTTGTTTTTTAGGATGCAGGCACTGGGAGTACCTTTGAAGGCTGCAGTCCCTGTCCTAGTGCACCTATAGAACATGGCTATCTCAGGCAACCTCCCTGCTCAAATAATGCAGGGGAAGTTGGAATGCACTGGAAACTTATCCCAATTACAGGTAAGATGGATTTCAACTCCTCTGTTCCTACAACTAGTGAATGAAAACATATTGTAAAGGTTTGTGCCTGGATTCATACATCCATTCTTGGATCACATGTTGGTACACAAGCACATCTATAGCCTGTGCAGTTGTTTCTTATATTTGATTAATACAGAAATCTGGATGAAAACAGATACTGGTGGAGAATATTGGTTTGGCCTCATATTAACACAAATTAGAAATGTGAATGCTTTAAAAACAAACACAACTATAGTTTTGAATATGGATGGTGAAGAACCTGAGCTGGGGTTGTGAGGGTCTTTCAGCACTCCTTGCAGCACCACTGAAGCTGTGTCAGTAATCAGTCAGACTGATATCCTCCCCTTTCCAGAAAATAAACTTGTTTTCACTGTTGCAAGATCTGGTGCAGCTTGCAGTCCAACTCCACCAGGTCATTTGTGTCTAAGCTTTTTAAAGTAGTAGCAAATGAAAATACTTGAATCATATGTTGCCCTGCTTGATTTCTAATTTAATTTTTAATTTGTAATGAAGGTATACCCTATTGTGCTACATTATCTCTGGGAAAACTACTTGTATTCTGCTTTTTCAGCAGACTTGGACTGTGCTGTTTGACTGTCTTAGGAGCTGTTAAATGTACTGTGCTTCTGTACCTCAGCAGACTGTAACACTTGAGTATTGGGGTTGAAGTTGGTTGATGGGGAAGGCATAACAGTAATGCTGTTATGGGATTTGGAGGTTTTGGTGTATCAGCTGTGTGTCACTCTCACACATGAGATGATGGTGATGATGAACTCTTCTTCTGTAGGTCTGAAGTCACCAGAAGAGCCACTGGAATATTTGCCACCAATGGATGCACTTCCTAATGACCCCCGGGTAAATAGACAGAGAAATTCTGATTATCAATTGCCCTGCTCTCCATTTGCAGACACACAGAAGGGGACAGCAGAAGATGGACATTACACAGGACAAGTGGAGAAACTTGAAGATCAGTATGAACTAACAGATCAACCTTTTACAGCTAAGCATTCCATTAGTGCAGTGATAGAGACAACACTGTTAGAAGAATATAAGCTCTTTGCAAGAAAGATTAAAGAAATTTTGCAGCAAAAAAACATTCCTTATGTCAGTGACATGTCCACACCAGTCCTTTCTGCCCAGGAGAGGATGATGAGACTTTCTGAACACATCTGTTTGCAGGCCTCAGAGATTTCTGTCCAAGAATACGTAGAGAGCCTGATTAAGAAGCTGGACAGTGTCATTTTGGCTTCTTCCTGCATGAAGCAGGCTGCCCCAGCGTATCCTAGTCCTGAAGCACTGGAGGGGGCGGGCAGGGACAGCGGCGCAGCGCTCCCCGAGCCGCCCTGCGATGCCCCGGGGCAGGAGCTGCGCCAGCCCCCAGCAGGCCTGGCCCTGGGCAAGGACACCGCGAGCCACAGCAGTGCTAAAGCAGAGGAACAGACCTCTGCTGCTGCTGACCTCAGGGAACCACCTGAAAAGACTCACAAGTCCCCTAACAACTTAATAAACATTTCAACTCAACCAGATTTTTCTGATTTGATAAGCAAGTTAAAGCCTGAATTATTTACCGGTTTCGTCCAAATAATGGAAAATGTACAGAAAAACAGAATCCAATTTTATATTCATGAAGAGGAAGAAAGTGTTCTCTGCAGAGAAATCAAGGTAAAGCTGTTTCAGTTCAACCTCTCTACTGTCAGAACAGAGTGTCTTTCAAATCCACTTGTATGAAACTGGACACACTTTGACTGTGACAGTGAGTTGTGAAAATAGGCTGTCCTGTCCCATTTCCTCACTGAGCTTTGGTGGTAGTCTTGCTTATATTTAGCTTTTACATAAGGCTTTTTCTTTGAGCTGGAAAACAGAACAGGCTGCAGGTTGGTCCTTTCTGAAGATCCTGCCAGGGGGTGGGCTTACAGAAAAAAGGTGATAAGTGAAGAAATGTGATAGCTACTGTTTTAGAAAGAATGTATGAAAAGTCACTCTGTGTGCTTTTGGGTTTTTTTCTCTTCCCCTCTAATAGTAGAGAGAAGTTTGAGAAATCACTATGCTTCTGTGACTTAAATGTGTAAGATGAAAGTTGTAAACTTCTAGCCTTCCTTGAACACTGGGGCAGTTTGATACTGTCAGTTGGTTGTCTGTGTGTGATTTGATAAGAATGGCTGAGTTGCTGAAACAGCTGCTCTGTGTTGCTGCATCCTTCTGATTAATTTATGGGAGGGATAAAGCAGCCAGTCCCTCTGGGATTCACTGAAGTGGAAAACCTTCCTGCTGGGGGTGTCATCTGGGCATGGTTTCTACCAAACTACCTATTGACTTTTTCCTTGTCTGCTCTCTCTGTGGTGGCAGGAATATCTTAGGAAGTTAGGGAACACAGAGTGCCATCCAGAGGAGTTCCTTAAAAGAGGAGATAATTCAGAGAAACTGTTGATCATTATCCAAAATGAAGACATTGCCAATCTCATCCATAAGGTATGTCCCACGTAAGGAACTGTGAGCTACAGAAACCTGTTGGCAATAGTGAGAGGAGCTCATTTGGAGCAAGGCTGCTTTCTTCTAACAGCACAGCATTCAACACTACCCTGTGTTTAGCTGCTGTTTGAAGAAACAAAATGGTTGTAGTAAAAATGGTCTTGTCCAACATTTACTCATATCTTCTTCCACCACCATGCACAGGCTAATGCATAGTTATTGTTAGTAGTTGTAAAACTGTGCAGAGGCCTGAGTAGTTCTGGTTCTGTGATTCTCTGACAGGAGGTGAAGGCAGCTTTCAGATGACCTGAGCTATTCCTGCCAGCTTAACACCCTGTGCTGGACAGAAAGTAAAATTACTCCAAGTGCTCAACGTCCATTTACCACATTCCTGTAATGCTCCTGAGAGAGCACCTCCCTGGGCAAGAGAAGGAACAGCAATTTTTTGAAAATGTGTTCTGACGTTTGGTGCCTGGCATTAGTAGATAGCAGAGTTCTGTAATTCCTTTTTCTGTGTGACCTGTGCTTACACCTCTGATTTCAAATGTTTTTCAACAGATCCCTGGCCTGGTGACTCTGAAGAGGTTCTCCTGTGTCAGCTTTGCAGGGGTTGATAGTTTGAACGATGTGAAAAATCGCACTTACCATGACCTGTTTGTGTCTGGGGGTTTTGTTGTGTCAGATGAATCTGTTCTTAACCCAGAGTCCATCACTACAGGTAGGTGTGATCCTTGTGGAAGCTTTAGAACTAAAATCCTGACATTTCAGTATGTGAGAGGTCCCGTACTCACCACAATAAAGGATCAGGTCTGCCAATTTTTGTGATGTTCTTTGAGAACTTCAGCTATTCCAGTCTCTTTCTCAGCCCAGTGACGTTATTGAACAACACATGAACAGGGAGATTTTGACTTCTGGTTGTATTACATTGTGTAGTTATGTCTGTGGAGCCTTTTATTCCTTACTACTCCATCCACAAACATGCTGTATATACTTTTTCTTCATTTGAAATTGAATAGTTAATGAAGTTACAATTTTTTGAAATATTTTAGCAAGGCAGATTGTGTATGCTGAGGTCAGCTTTTAAATACCACTGCTGGGCACCTGAGGTACAGAAAGGCAGCTCAGTTTTATGATACTGCTGTTGGCCAGTCTGCATGGAATAAAACTTTGAAGTGAGTGTCTGCTGTTTGTAATTGTGTGAATGTACTGTGATGAAAACAGCTTTTTGTATACACTGAAGCAGTATTTTCAGTCTATGTACCACAAAATTTAACTTTTATTTAATATCTCTACAACAGATAAACTAAAACAGTTCCTGACATTTCTGGAGGATCTCAATACCCCAGATGGGAAATGGCAATGGAAAGTCCACTGCAAAATACAAAAGAAATTGAAAGAGCTGGGGAGGTAAGTAAGGTTCTATAATAGCAGCTGTTAAAATGCTTCAGCTTTCATTATGCCATCCAAAACACTTAAATAGAACTTACTCTTATTTTTGTCTGTTGCTATTTAGACTGCCCATAAATTGTTTCTAACAGTGAGCTTTCCCCCCACTGCAGGATGAATGCCAATGCCCTGAACCTGCTCACCCTTCTGAACACCTACCAAAAGAAGAACTTGGTTGAGATTCTGTCTTACCATAACTGTGACTCTCAAACTCGAAATGCTCCAGAACTTGAGTGTCTCATCAGGCTTCAAGCTCAAAACATCCAGCAGAGACATGTTGTCTTCCTAACAGGTAAACCCCACATTTGTGAACACCTCTCCCCCTTTTTGGTAACAGGTGCTAAATATTAATACAAACTCCTCTTTTATGTATTTAGAAAAGAATCTCAAGACGCTGTCGAGTTACGTTGACAACGGCATCGTGGTTGCTGCTGTTGATGACTTCATGCGTAACTTTCAAAGTCTGGTGGGGTTTCACAACTCTGATACTGAGCAGAACAACCTTGCTGCTGGCAGTGCTGGCCAAGGACAATCAGGTGAGGTCAAACACACTTAAACTTTCCTTCCTGAAGTGCATGTGTGGGGTAGAGGTGCTGGGACAGTGTGCCTTGACTCTGCTCAACAGCCACTGCAGCCAGCAAGGAAAACCAACCCTCAAAGTGTTTGAAATGGTGGGGGAAGAGCAGTGGGGATGGAGACCTTCAACACAGAAGTACAGGCTAATGTGGTATTTGAGGCACTAGACAGGGCATCTGTTTTCAGGATAAACTTGTCACTACTGCTTTATCTACTTAGAGTAGATAAACTGTACTGAGATGTCAGTAATTGTACTCCTTTAATTGTCTGATCAAATACTCACCTGCTGTGTAACTTTAGATGCTGTTTTGACATTGTCCCCTTTGGAGCTGGGAGCTGGGATTTCCCAGCACTAAATATGAGCACGGTGTGCAGAAGCTTTTAGCACCAAGTAACTGGACACTCCCACAGAGGGTTAAGTGTGTGTGTTGAGTAAGTGAACACGAGTGGCAGAAGACCAAGACCTAAAGTGCTGTTGGACTGGCAGACCTGAAGTGTAACACTGTGAGTAGTGTATGGCCTTTTTAACCAAAGTTTATATTTCAATAGAATAGAACTTTCTCTCTCTTTTAATGTAGTTCTTGTAGAAAAGGATGAGAAGGATGAGGAGGACATGTCTCTGGATTCAGGGGATGAATTGTCAGAAATAGAAATCTGCAGTGGTGCCTCTAAGTATGATACTCATGTGGAAGCTTTGCAGACAGAGGCCAAGGGCCCACATGGAGCAGATGCTAAAGCAAGCTGCTTATCAGTTACAGAGTTACCTCCTGAAGCACAAACTGGCCTGGGGGAAAAGACTTACAAAATTGACTTGGAAGAGAAGCAGCCAATTACTCCAGTTTCTACAGCAGGCTCTGCTGAAGGAGAAAAACACAATGCAATTGAACAAACTCCTTTCAGTAACTTCCAGGTTTATAGCAGACAATTAAACATGTTCCATCAATTCAGCCACTTTAGTGTCCTCACTCATCAGACTTTTCTGGGAACAACATACCCAATTTCTCCTGCAAATCAAAACCAGGAAGGGAGCAATTATTTTCTATCTGCCTACAATCAGAGCATGGATACAGAAAAGTCATTATCACCTGGTGGCTGGGATAGCTGCTGTGATTCTTCCAGGCCATATTCAGAACAGAAATGAACTCTTAAGTCTCTTTTTCTAAGTTGCTGTGGACTTCTCTGTTTCTAAAACATTGGATTAATGATTTCTATTTTATTCTGGAACAAAATGTTTCTTGTTCTTGTTATCTCAGATGTTTTCATGTTCTATTTAAATCCCTGATGGCCCGTCCCTGTTGGAACCATCTGAAAATTTAAATAAATACATATATTTTTTAACGTTTACTGTACTTGAATTATCTTGTTTGTTGGCACTTTTAAGTTTCTACATTTGTATTTGACCTGTTACCTAAGCTTCAGTTTGAGGTCTGTTTAATGTAAAGCTGAATGTTTGCCTAAAATATGTGAGTCTTTTTTTCTTAACCACGAGAGTATCCAGGTCATGTTTCTTTACGTAAATATTAAAATTAATGTATTTATTTGACATGGACACAAATTTTGTACAATGTTTTTACATAGCTCTAAGGTAGTGTACTTATTTTCATGACTATATACTGGATTTTGGCTAAATACCTCAATTAGAGTAACCAATGGTGCAGTTCCATTACAAAAAAAAGAAATAAACTCTCAATGCACAAGGGACTTGCTAACAGATTGCTTTGTCTGTGGTTTTTACATTGTTTGCAAAGTGCTTGAGGAACTCCCAGGCTTGGTTTCATGGCCAGCAATTATCTGTGTGCCTCACTTGGTGCTCTGTGCCATTGCAGCACCACAGGGTCCTCCCAGCTTTTACCTGGCCACTGTGATTACTGTAATGAGAGGAGGACAAACCTTCATGTAATGCAGCAGAAAAACCTCAATGCTCTCCCACTTCAGCTTAATGATTCCTGGGGCTCTCAGGCTTTGTTTTTTAAATTTGGTTTTGTTTTGTGAAGGAGCACTGGGGTAAGTCCAGTTTTCTCTGTTTCCTTATCCTGTCTGTTCAATTCCACATCTGCTGCGTTTCCAGCCTTTCCCCTCAGCGATTCTCTCCCTTTGTTCTGCCCCAGGCTGGCAGAGGCAGCAGCTGTGGAGTGGCTGCATTGCTCACTTGCCTGCGACTCCTGGCTTTTCATGCTCATCCTCAGGTTGCCCAAAGTCCTGTGTTTGGGGGACTTCCTGTCTGTAATTTGATTTTAGTGCTTTTCTCTGGGATGTGCTGTTTGGTACCAGGTGAGTGTTTGAAACTACAGAACTCTAAATCCACAAAATTAATTGGGACAAAATTATTGGTTAAAAAGGGCAGTTTTTAAAAAACAAGCAAAACCCATAGACTTTTGCCTGAAGTTGATTCTTCCCCTCTGTAGAGAGTGGATTGATTTATTCAAGTTAAGAACGGGTACCAGACTAGTGTAAAGCTTCTCACCCTCCCCCCAAGCATGGCAAGTAATTTTTCTGAAAAAAGAACTCCCTTTTATCAATGAATTGTACCAGATTGTGTAATGAGCTGTGGTCTTAGAATCTGGGAGTACTTGAGTTGATATTCACAGTATAATGCTGAAAGGTGGCTTAATATTGAAATACAGGCAGTTTTGTATAGCTGAAAATACCAACAGAGATAACTAAAGCCATTCAGAATACATCTCAATCTTTTTATTTATCAAAATTCACACACTGAGTTCTACAAAAGCCCATGCAAGTTTACTTCCATGTTTTTGGTGGTTTATATTAAATTGACATTTGTATTCAAGTAGCATGAAAACCATTCTAAAGAGACAAACCATGATGAGTCTAAATTATCTTCAATATAAAATGTAACATGACCCTGTAGTCTATCAAAATTCTCATAATTTAATTTTCATAAAAAAGCTAGAGGTGGTTTGTAATTAATTACAGTAGCAAAGTGCTGTGCATTTCCACTTTAAGGGTTCAGAACATTCATATGCACCTCTCAAAACGGTGGCATGAAGTTCTCTTGAGCTACAATGGGAATCAGAGTGTTCTCCAACTCCTTCTGCTTCTGCAGGAGGCCCTGAAACAAATACAAATGTGAATGTTCTGTCCTCTCACACAGCCTGAAGCAATGTAGCATCATTGTTTCATAGTTAAAAACAATTTCCTTGTTAAGGCCCAATGTTTTTTAAGTACCCAACTTCAGAAAAAACAGTAAAGCCTCAGGGAAGGGGGACCTTCTACAGCAGCCTTGGATGTGTGACTGGAGTGGAAGCCAGGCCAGTTTCCAGAGATGACCACACAGAGGAAGAAAGGGACTTTTCCATGGTATGAAATGGAACTTTCTCATCCCTTTGTGCACTGTCTCTGCATTTGCAGTATTGCAGTGAATTCCTGAATGAAGCAGAACCCAAAACCCTGATGGGCACTGGCTTTTAGCCTAAACACAAACAATTCCCTTCAGAGCAAGGGCAGCAGGGCCACTGGAACCAGACCAGTGTCTGACATTTCAGGAGGCTCAGAAAACTGTCAGAAGGTTCAAGGTTCCTGCTGTGTCAATGGTTCTGGTAAGTACTGATGATAGAGAAAACCTGTCACCAAAAAACTCCTGGAAATGTATCCCTGTCTATCAAGTCATACATGATAGAACTATGACAAGTATGTGAATAAATTAAATTTTTTTTACTGTAATTAACAGGATCATATATATTGATACATCTGGCCCCTTGCTCTCCATCTATTTTAGACTTGTCAGAAATAATTTGATACCACAGAAGTTTGTTTTTTAAAAATGAAAAGGTAATTATTTTTCTCAGGAGTTACAAGGCCGTTCTCAAAGATAAGAGTTACAGGCTGCTGGCACAGCTCACTCCAGACCTAATGCAAGGCAGCAGCTCCTACAGCAATTCAGGCACAGATTCCTGGTGGCACCAGAGGAAAGTCAGCAAAGCAGCCTGCAAGACTTCACTTGGGCTTCTTCTAAGGCAGCAGCTGCCTGGCTGCCTACTTTCAATCACTTGATGAATTGCTTTCTAATTAATCAACAGGATCTGCTTATTTCTATTAATGAGTCAGTGTTTTCAGTCTCTGTGTCAATAATTAGTATTTTTGCAGAGCATTTTTTTGCATTTAGAAGCATGTTACAAAACCAAGTTATAAAATAAACTGCCCTAGATGGACCAAGAGTTGAGGAACAAGTACCCCTGAAAGCTGGCAGCTGAGTGTGTGTCACAAGGGCTGCTCAGGTACGGGAAAGGGGCTCGGCAATGGGAAATGCCTCCCCAGAGAGCCGTGGGAGTGTCCCCACCCAGCCATTGTCACCTGCAGCCCTTGGCGGTGCTGCTGCCTCAGGAACAATGGGTGCTCTGGGTACTACTGACCTGGGGGTGAGTCCTCGTTCTTAAACTTTGTCCCTTCTTTTTCACAAATAATTCTCTTTGCTCAGCTTATCCACTGACTTTTATCCACTTCCTCAGTGAGGAAAGAGAGTCTGTTGCTAGCTCCTATAGCTGCTGAGACACAGGAAGAGATTTGCTGTCCTGTAGCAAATGCAGTGACAGACTCAGCCTCCCTCCTCTTCCCTGGGTCAGCCACTCCCCCTGGGCTCTGCACCAGCCCAGCGTGGAGTTCAAAGACTAAAGACTGGTTGAAATTATGTGATTATGTGAATTCCCCCAAACAAAACAATGCCTAAATATGTTGTAAATATAGGTAGGTATGTATGTACTCTGAAACTATCAATCCACTCTATATATATGTATATATAAATGCAGAAGAGCAAGACTAGACAATCTTCTGAAACAGAAAACTCAGCTTTTTGTGTTTCAGACAAAATCCTGCACCATTCATACTTTCTCAGTGAAATAACTGAAGCAAAACAGGTGTCATCTGTACATCAGGAGGAGTGCAATACTTTGGTATACAAGGTATACTGCAATGGAACAGCTCATGTCTTAAATGCCTTCTGCAGTTGCCAGGGTATTTAAAAAGGAACTCCACGTGTTTCAAATGAACTCTCTTGCAGAACCAAGATCTACTGAAAGACTGACCTGTTACTTTTTAGCCACTGCAAAACTGACTGTAAGTTCACGTGGCTTCTCTGAGTTGCCAACTTTAACCTGTTCACATAACCAGGGTTTTTGTAGCCTCAGCAAACAGGGATCAAGCTGTACCTTGAATCTGGCTTCACTCTTCAACAAAATGCCACTGGTAAGTGCAGTGAAATACAGAACATGGACTTGTCTCAGCAAGGTGAGGGGCTGAGGGGTTACTGCAAACTGTGACTGCATCCCAAGAGGGATCTACCCTGTGCTGGGAGTGATAACTGCAACTGCTTCCCAAACAGGGACCTAGCCCTGACCAGCTGAAAGTGATTGTAATGAGTTCATGCCTTAGTTTGTTCATCAGGTTGCTAAGAAGACTATAAAAAGGAGAAAAGCCAATAATAGAAAATCCGCAAGGATAGATGTAGCCAGCTGATATGTTGCAAGATGAATATAATGGGCTAAAATATTGCAAAATAACTGTCATAAGGCCTAAACCACAACTGTCAGAAGCTAATGTCTTGAAAGGCTAACTAAGCAAATGTGTAACTATATGTAGCTATGTGCCTATCTATGGTAAAGGCTATTGTAAGACCTCGAGGAAGTTACATTTCATTTGGACTCACTTGTCGGTGATTGGTTCCTCACCACAACTGCTAACAGTGATAACCAGTGGAAAACTCCCAAAGTGGCAGCAGAAAACTGAAGATGCAAAGTCATAGGTTCTGCTAGAGCAGATATGGAACTAGAGTGTAATCAGTGAAATAGGTAGAGGTGGCCCATAAGTCTAACATGAAGATCTCTGTGTAGCAAAGGAAGATGTAGTTATTTGTGTGAGTTAGATTGGAATGGAGTGTTGCATTTGTAAGCTGAAGATAAGAAAACCACAGGTTATGTAAGGCCCCAGCCCCCCAGATCTGGGACTCCAAGATAAGTAAGTGGCAGGGATTGGTGTCAGATTTCTATAAAAGCTGGTGTGAAATGGGCAATGTTGGGATGTGCAGATGGGTGTGCTGACCCCTCATGCCCCTGGCACCAGTAAAGGTGTCTTTACTTTGCAGTCCCTGCTGTGGAGTAGATTCCTTTGGATCAGAAGCCAAAATGCTTCAAAGCTGTAGATGTTTAACAAGGATGTTAATGAGCAGTGGGGAAGATCAGATCCAGTGAAACCAGTGTAGAAGCTGTTAGAAACTGGCAGCCTTTCAGTGTTCTTGGGTCACAACTTTTCTTACTGACCTGGGGAGAGTTATGAGCCTTTTTTTGCACAAGGAGTTTACCTACTGCTGAAGCACTGTGGGTATGTTATAAATGGCTCTGTAGTAGTTGGCTTTTGCTACAATTTATTTGCTTTAATTATTAGATTGTAATTGTTTGCAAATAATTATTGAAAGTTTTAAACTGCTTTTTAATGATTTTAAATGATTTGTAATCATTTGTGGGCAGTGTAACAGGGAAAGCAAGACATTCACAAGATGTAAGTGGGCTTGTGAAAGATGCATTTTAAGATATGCTGGCTATTGCAAAATGTACATCTAAGATAGCATAAAGTGGAGAGCAAAGACCCTGAAAGGAAAACTACCAAGCCTAAAAGTGGCCTCCAAAACCACCCTAGACTGCTGACATCTGCAACTACTGAATTGTGCAAACACTGCAAAAATCTCTAGCAAGATTGTAGT